TTATTTATATATATATATATATATATATAGAGAGAGAGAGAGAGAGAGAGAGATTTTTCTTTTTCTTTTTTTACGCACACACATCCTCACCAAAGTTCACAAGTTGACCGCATGCAGTAATATGAGGCTGAACCGGCCGTCACTTAGAAGAGTGGAGATGCAGGTGCTCCTGTCAGTCACACCACTCTATTTCTGTGCCAGCTGTGTACAGTCAGTACTAATACTTCCCTGTGGCACCAGCTGTGCCATCTTGTCCCACCCATCCAAGGCTTACCGGTGTCCTCTGCCCACCCCTTCATTCTGGGTCTCATCTAATGAGCCTGACTGTTAGACTAGCATCACAACAGAGCACTGCCCTCTCAACATGAAGAGTACACTCTACATAGACAGCATAGTTAAATCTCTGGTCACTGTATCCTCTCTGTGATTCAACACAGAAAAGACCATCTTAAGATGTTGTGAAGAGCTCTTGTCTGTAGTGCGATCGGCTCAGAGAGCTGGGGAGGATAAAGTCAACTATCCTGCATGTGCTGACTGTGAGTCTTCAAGGAGTATTAATACCCTCCTCTGAAAATAGACAGGACCTTTCTCGCCATTTAAGTCACTGGCTGTAGAAGGGAGGAGGAGGTGAGAGGCTTGGGTGGGGTAGGATTGGCCACCGCCGTCTTGGGTGCCTACTCTGCCGTTTACCAGCACAGCCAAGCCTTTACCCAGCAGCCCATGGTGGAAATAGGGCACCGGTAACCGCTAAAGAAGTCCGGCAGCTGCAGACGTTCGCTTTTCGGAGATAAACATGGTGAAGTGCCTAATCCGCATCACCACCCGGATGAACGTCCACCTGCGCATGATCAACCACTGCTATCGGGATGTAAAGGTTCGGGTGCTGAGTTTGGGGCCTCGTATGCTGGGAAAGGCCCTGGGCGTGCTGCCCCTTTACCCAGCCCTCACGGGGCAGCAGGACCAGCTGCGGGCATCACCTTTGCCCATGACTTCACCATCTTATGCAGTGCCCACCACAGCTTTAGGTAAAGTCTAATGTGTGTTTGCTTGTGCACCAGATTGATTTTTGTATTATTAGGTTTTACTGAAGGTCTTTTTCAGTAAGATGTATTTTATTTCTGCTGTTTTGATGAAATCGGATTAGGTGGGTTAGAATAGAAAGAGACAGGTAATGGAATTTCTGTTGGTGTTGCTGTGATTGTTGTCAGTTATAAAAGCTCTTTGAGGTGTGAAGTGCTTTAATTCTAAAGAACATACATTGATGCTCAAATGTTTCGGGCCAGTAAGATTTTCTTTTTCTTTTTAAAGAAATTGATACTTTTATTGAGCAAGGTTGCATTAAACTGATCAAAAGTGACAGTGAAGACTTTTGAGCTTTCTGTACATAAAAGAAAATTATATAAAATACTAAGTAGCAAAAGTGTCTTCAACAGTGATAAGACATGTTTGAGGAGTACTAAATCAGCATGTTAGAATGATTTTTGAAGAATCATGTGATCCTGAAGACAGCTATGCATTTTGAAATATATTAAAATAGAAAAGTTATTTTAAACTGTAATAATGTATTTCACAATATTACTGTTTACTGTATATTTGATCAAATACATGCAGCATTGTTGAGCATATTTTCATTCAAAAACATTAAAACATCTTACCACCCCTAAACGTTTGAACAATACTGTATATTTTATTTTAAGTATTTGGGTAACTTTTATATGATACTGCAGTTGCAAAGAGAAGTTGGAATTACCATTGGAATTATATGCATTATCTATACATAACAATGCAGACACACACAATCATAGTCTTGTTTGGATTGTGAACCTACAGGCGAATGTTTTCTTTAAAGAGCAATTGGAGTCGATCAATGAGATGTGTGGATTGAAGATACTCTACCTCACTAAGAAACGTTTGGTTATTGACAGAATCAATAAAAGGTTCTTCATATGTCCTGATCATAATTAATAGTGCATGTTAGAAGCTTGAAAGCTGTAGAAGCATTCTTGGGAAGGGAGGCAGTGCCTCCTCAAAATATTGGATGAGAAAAAACATTGTAGTACAAAAATAAAATAACGCAAATATTACAAAATATAACATTAAAAAGTGTATAAATTACTTGTTTTTCTAAAGAAACACTGCCCAAAACGGGAGTCCGTGTCTCACTTCCCCTGAGCCCATTGAGTTTTAATAGACCCCCTAAAGCGTGCTGTGATTTGGTGGGGGGTAACTGAGAATGAATGGGGGAGAGGAGGTAATGCCTCCATTGCGATATGATTGGTAATGACTGGTTATGATCGGCTGTGATTGGTTCATACGATAAATCTCACCTCTTGTGTTTGTGCGCATTCCGCGTTCGCGAATCAGCCTGAGCGAACACTATACTGTAATGGTGTTCCATGTCTGTGACGAAAAATTCAAAAGTAGTTAAAAGTTAACTATTAAAAAGAATAGCTGAACATAAGTTCACAAATCAATCTATTGGAATTGCCCCAATAGCGCCACCTATAAAATTTCAGCGAAGGGCCCCATAAACTATGTTTCACATACATGTACGAAATTCAGTAGACACATGCAACACACCAACACCTACAAAAAAGTCCCCTGGTACGAAGCCTGAAACCCAACAGGAGGTCTGTTATTTTGAATTTTCTCAGCAAGTTTTGTGCCGTTTTTGCAATTGTCAGGCCTTGTACTTTAACAAACTCCTCCTAGAGATTTAAACAGCTCAACACCAAATTTGGTAAGTCTAATCTAAAGCCCTTTGTGATGTTAAATTGCGAAGATCTTGAGTTTTCGTTCAAGGGCATGTCTGTGGTGGTCTGACAAATTTCAATGTTTCGCCATGAAATGGGAAGTTGTTATAATTCAGGCATACAATGTCCGATCTGCCCCAAACTTCACAAGTTCAATAAGAGTCCTGGCCTAAACACATCTAAAGGCCAATATACAGTTATAATCATAGCACCACCTGTTGGCAACAGGATATGTCATGTTTTACGCTAACTCAAACATACCATGTTCAATCTGCACCAAACTTCATATGTTTGATCAAAGTCGTGGCTTGAAGACCTCTACATGCCAATATAAAGTTATAGTCATAGCGCCACCAGCTGGCAGCAGGAAGTTTGGCACAAATAAATGACTTTGACATATTCCTTCTATATTTACCACTTTAAATGCATATTGCCCACAGTTCGTTGTTTTCCTAAAGCCAATCCTTAAAGCGATGAGCCTGTGTGCGAGGGCCCTTTCAATGCTGCTTGCAGCTTTAATTTAAATTGTTACTGCCTTGACTTATTTTGGAATAAATGCAAAATGCTAACTTTTGGCTTTAAAAAATAGAATATGGATTACATTGTTAATGTAAAAATATAAAATAGAATTGTTTTTTATTCTTCTGATAGCGTAAGTAATGTTTGTTTAACCAAGAAAATGTAATTGGGACATGAATTTACGTTTGATAAAAAAAAAGCTGATGACTTTGCCTCCCAATTTCAGAACACCACTGATTCCTTGGTATTCATTAATCCACAATCTGCAAGTGTAAGACATACAGTGCTGTTACTGATCTTTCAAGGAGTTGCCATCCTGCAAACATCACGACAAGAAGACAGTGAGAAATGCAGCTGAAAAAATAACTGCAGGAGTTGCAGAAATGCGCAGCATAATGTTTGAAGGACTGCAGCCTGAAACTAAAACCTGATTCCAGCTGTGAAGCATGGTGAGAGGAGGATGATAATATCAGGGTAGCCGTTCATCACCTGAAGCTCGGTGATACAAGAAGACATAGATACAAAAAGTAATTCACTACTGGAACTGCTTTCACAGAAGAAATTGTGCTCTCAGTCCAGACATCAATTCTATGGATGCACTATAGTGACATGAGCTGAAGAGAGCGTTTAACACAAAGAACCCCAGATATATGAACTGAAGAGTTAAAGAAACAGTTCAAATAGTTAAACAATTTTAAAGGGATTTCCAAACTACAGTACTAATAGATGGAAGCCATTACTGCTAAAGAAGATTTAACAGTCAGTTAATGTTCACATTTCAAGGTTCACATTTTACTGTCTGGTCTGTAAATGTTTAAACCGTTTAAGGAGAGCAGTGCACATTTTTATGAATTATTAATGCAGAAGTACAGGTAAATACAAAGGCTTCGCAAGCTTTTTCTTATAACCGTATGCTCATATTTCTAGTAAAACCGGAACTGTTTAATTCCAGGGTTCTTTAAACTCAGATAAATGAGAGCCGAGTTCAGCTTTATGCACTAAAGCAGATGTGCTTTGCTTTCATGTGTGACTATTTTTCTCTTTGGCAGGATGTCTAATAGTGTGAATGAGAGGCCTTTGGTTGAGCAGTAAAATGTCACATCGTCAAAAGATGAAATCCTAATCCCTTCACATCAGAATAGAGATGTAACATATCTGCAATGACACGCTCAAGAATCTAATGCTCAGCAAAACTCGTATGCTTCTCTACTTGGGGTTCCTTGAGGAAAAGGGTATGCGAGAACTGAAGCACAAGGATTTATGGGAGATTTGCTGCATCCTCACTCTGTGGCCTATGTGGTCACTTACTGTGACTAATCCTCTTAACATCACGGTGTTAAAGTTATGTTTAAGAACAGAAATATATATCCCCTCTCAGATGGATTCTGTATATCATGTAACTTCTGTACTGCATTATAATAGACTGGTATCACAAAACCTATTTAAAGCCTTTCTAAGTTAGTAGCTATTTAAGATTGTGTGCTATATATACATGTGCATGTTGTATAGTGAGGTCTAGTCCTTTGGATTGACCATGTGCTGCTAATTGTTACGACACCTCAGCAAGTTGGCTGTTTGCCTGTCAATACGTGTGATTCCCAGGCCTGTGGGGGCTTGAAGTACAGTGTCTATCGGAGCAAACAAGCTGGGAAATGTCTTTTCACATTAGCACTCAGGTCTGCTTTGCTCCGAGCACATTACTGAACTCCAGGCCTGTGATTCAGTATTTGGGTCTGTCACCTTCTTGAGACCCTTGTATTATTGTCCCTCAAGCACAGTGCACATCTTGTTGTTTTTTCTGTCCTTTGCGATTGCTACTTGTCAGGTTGCATGGAATGAGCCCTTTGAGGCCGGAATAAGATGCTAAGAATGGACACGATTGACTGGATGTTGAAAAACTGAAAAAGTAAGTGCTAATGGCTGATATTTTGTTTATCTGCATCCATTTTTGAGTGCAACACTCGCGTTTCAAAATCATATCAACAACCCGATGCATATAATCAAGTTTCTGCCCTACATTTTTTCTTTTTCAAAAATTCTTTGCACCCAAATATACGTCCGAATACAGAAAAGATCTGCCATTTGGTCAACTCAATCACGCAGTCACCTGTCAAGGAAAGGTCAAACGCTGCCCCTCCTGCTGAGAGCAGCATTTAGATGAATATGTAAATAGCAAAACAAACACCAAAAATGGCAGTGGTGAGAAGACAGTCAAGTCACGTCATATTTATTTAGTGCTTTATACAATAGATTGCTTTAAAGCAAGCAGCTTTGCAGTATCGCAGTTTTACTCGTGGATGTTTGACCTCGACAGACTGAATGGAGGAAATGAACCCGAGAAGATTTCCACATCAAAGGAGCAGCACCAGAGCACACCTACCTAACACAAACACAATCACCATGGATCAATGGTAGTTCTTAGGAGCGAACTTTTCCAGCTTCGGTAAACTGTTTAGGATTCTTGAAACAAACCTGATTGTTCAAAATGACGTCACACCAGTTGGAGGTTCCGCGTAAATTTCACTCAGATAATGCAAAAATGAAAAACCAAAGTTCTAGAGTGTCTAGGCTAAATAGTGGCTAGGCCAAATAGGAAATTTGTTCTCATTTTTCACATTATTTTGTAATTGTTGCATGTTTGGACTACTCATTTGATGTACTGCTTTTCGCATACTAGGTAGCCTATGAATTTTGTCTGGACCTTTTATATTAAAGGGGACATCGCACGGTATGATTCTTTAGGGCCTTCATGAAATGTCTGCAAAATACTTTGGTTAAAATTCCTCAATGGTCATGTACTGTAAAACAACACCCTTTTTATCTCGTCAAAAACGGCTCTGTTCACAGCGAGCCTTTTCGGTTAATGTCTCTTTAAATGATAATGAGCTACTGCTCACCCCACCCCTCTCTTCTGTTTTTTTTTGTGTATTTGGTCGTGCATTTCCATCAAAAACTAAACCAATCCACTGCGTCCTCAGTGGCTCTCATGTCGGGAGAAAATGAAGACTTTTCATGTTAACTTTTATATCCAACTACAAAAACACCCGCATTTGCTTACGAGACGTTGTTGCTACAGCTGCTTGAGCGCAGAGAAAATGGCGGACGGCATACAACTGGCTGAGGGCGGAAATATGCTTATACGGGACAGTCCGTCAGTGGCCGTGGGCGGAGCCTGAGCAGTGTGATGTCATACTGTTCAGAAAATCAAAAAGGCTTGACAATTGAGACTTTAGGTTTTTTGGGGATCCAAAAATGGAGTGAATGGATTTTTTCATTGTAACACACTGCTAAGACACATTTATATGCAAACCATGTAAAAGTGAATTTTGCATCCGATGTCCCCTTTAAGAGACATTTTATTTTGAATAGGGACATCACATATTACAGTACTGGTCAAGTTATGGTATCAAAGCTATTGACATTTTAAAGACAAACTTATGCCGAGTTCACACTGAACGATTTTCAAAGTCGTCAAATCACCGTTTTCACACTGCATGACTATCTGGGGTAGAATTCAGTTGCTGCTGTGTTCACATTGTACAATGGATAGGCGACAGGAGGTTACACACTACATGACTTCACAATAGGAATAATCGCCGACAACTCTTGACTGGTCCGCAAACTACGTTTCACAACCAAATGCACGTGAGAAGTGATAATGGAATAACGCAAGATACAAGTTCTCGCACGAGACTGGAAATGTTATTAAAATGGTAGCCCGTAAAAAGTTTGCGATACAAATGGTCTGTGCGCTGATTTATAGTGAAAGGGCAAAAAAGAAAAAAAAGATTATGGAGGAGGAAATAGTTGGGGAGACGTGGGGAGCAAGGATTGTTGATATTGTGGTCTATAACTCCTCCCGCAGCTCTGTATCTTGCTCTCTCATCGGCTGCAGGTCAGTCAGAACTCATTTCACACAGCAGGATTTTTAATGAATGAATGATTCTCTCAGATCACGTCTTTGATAATTCACACTGCATGATTGTCACTCGCGTGAACGAGCACCAATTTGCCTCCGATTTTGGGCATTTGTTTGCGATTTCGCAAAACCTGTCGGTGAGTGAAAATCAGGGCTAAAATAGTGCAGTGTGAACTTGCCATTAGACACAATGGTAACCTAGAAAAGCCAGCCTTGATTTAACTTAAGTAAAGAGTAAAATGTTTTATCTTATTACATTGTCTTTTTGTCTCTCTCTTATCCTTCCTCTTCCATCCATCCAGGTCTGGAATCCTTGCGGGACAGCGCCCACTCCACTCCCGTGCGTTCCATGTCCCACGGCGACGCCTTCATCCCACGTTCGCGGAGCCAGGCGACGGACTCCGGCGATGGGACGGCAGTCATCTCCGATGAGACCTATAGTCCCTCCGACAGCGTGCTGCCCACACCAGTGGCCGAGCACAGCCTGGAGATGGCAGTCTCACGCCAGATCAACGGCGCCCCCTGCAGCATCGAGGAGGAGAAAGAGTCTGAGGCAGGCACGCCCACCGTGGGCGACATGGCCGAGTTAGGAGCGGACAGTAGGGCGGTGGGCCCCGTGCAGAGCGCAGGCGCACTCAGCGAGACGGAACAGGTGAATAAGTTTGTTTTAAGTGTACTCCGTCTGCTCCTTGTGACCATTGGACTCCTCTTTGTCTTGCTCCTCCTCCTCATCATCCTCACTGAGTCCGACCTTGACATTGCATTTTTACGTGATATCCGCCAGACCCCCGAGTTTGAGCAGTTCCATTACGAATACTTTTGTCCCCTCAGACGGTGGTTTGCCTGCAAGCTCCGCTGGGCGGGCGGGCTGCTCATTAACAAGTGAAAATGAGGCACTAAAGCTCGTAAAGCCTCCCTTGTTGGGGTCGAGAAGACGCTAAACACGTGGAGAGAGAGAGAGAGAGAGACGGAGGGCATCAACCCGTCCCATGAACCCAGCTTCTTTCATGACACTCTTGCTGACACACGGTGGACCACCAGGCCCACAGCTCCTCTTCTCTTCCACTTTTAGTTCTTTCTCCCCCGTCCATTTTTACACCTTTATTTTTGTCGTTTTTTTTTTTTTTTAACAAAGATTTTACAAAGAAATTTTTTTTCTTTTTTGGTTTCCTTATTTTGGATTTCAGGTCATTTCAGGTATTTTATTTTTACAAAAAAATGAGAAGAAAAAAAACACAAAACTTAATTCAAAGACTTGAGAAGAATATATCGTTCCTTAAATAGGGAATATGAAATATTTTGTTGCAACGAGAATGTTGCCTTCATTTATATTTATTTTAAAATAATAATTATTAAAGTCTTATTAAAGAATGTGGTGCATTAAGTCAAGTTGGTACGGTAGAGTGGGATGGAAAGCACGAGAAAGTTGAAAACCAATGCTTTTCTGAGTTTATGCATAATTAATATCCATCCGTCATGTAACTCTTAGTAAATTCTGAAGGCTGCTATAAATTTACCACATCAACGATCAGATCAGCAGAGGGTTATATGTAAGGTAAGAATGTGCAAGTTATTTTTGAAGCGAGAGCTGAGGAAAGACTGGAAATGATGTTATTTGAATAAAATTGATGGGTACATTTGAGTTCTGTATTTGGTGGCTTGTGTTTTAGGGTGTCAGATACATTTTAGGAATATTATTGTGTTTAGGCGATGGCAAGCTGTGAAGTAGAATTCTTTTTAAAAAGGTTCTTTCTAATGGATACAGAAAAATTAATTGTGTTATGTCATGTGACCCAATAGTGTCAAGTATCTCAAAGTTATCATGATTGATTTAAAAGCAACTAGCACCCATAGATCCAATCTAGTTACAGTAGATGTGCAATACTGTAAGGGTTTGGTTTTTAAGAAATAAGTACATAATTTTTTTCACGAGTATGTGTATTTGCTTTATTATAATAATTTTTTTACATTTTCCATTCTGAGTATTTCTCAATAGAAAGAAATCCCATTGTATGAAGTAATAATTTTTTTTATTCCATATCGACCTTGGTTTTAAGTTTGTATTCTGTGGATATCATGCTATGTTTATTCTTAATTACAATAACAATGCTGTACTTTTTGTACAAAAAGTAGTTAGTTTCCTAATATATCGACAGTTTTTCCATGTATATTTTAACAGAAACTGAAATGTTATTTTGTTATTGAAAATTAAATTATACCTTTTTTAGCTCTGTGTTCCAGATGAGGTCTAGAATCTATGGCGTTTCTGTCAAGGGAGACACGGGAAAGATTTTAATCCAGATCTACAATCCATTTCCAATTCAGTCACTTAACCAGTAATGAGAAAACCGTCCCTGTGCTTTGTATATTGGCCCTGCATTCGAACAATACTGATGACTTTATACACAGTTTAGCCAAAAGACTGTGTGTGTATGTTTGTGTATGCTCATATTTTAATTAATTGATGATGTTTTTGGCAATATGTACTAGAAGGCCAGGTTTAGTCTTTAGTACACCAAGTCCTGATTAGTCTATATTATTTATTTGAAGACAGAAGATTCTTCCAGTGGCATGCAAGTTGGACAGGGGGTTTATTTTACCATACATGATCTATTTTATGCCTGCCCCTTTGAAACTGCTATTGATGTAATTGTTTTTGTATTTGAGAAAGCGAAAAATAGAGGAAGTGAATGCAAAATGCAGAAGGAGCAGACTTATTTTTGTGTACAGTGAAAAAGAGACCAGGGTTGAGAGAAGTAACAGCTAGTGGTAATTAGGGGATGTTTTAGATCTTACACTGGTACTCACAATAATTGTAGCTTTTAGCATTAGTTTGTGGCAGCTCACAAGCTTGGCTTTACTAGTACAGTTATTTTAAATGAACATGCTTCAATCCACCAATCACAATCTGCTGTTGTGTTTGAGGCCAGAATCACTATGGTGCTAGTGAATAAAATGACGGCTGAGATGTGTTTTAGGAAGCAGCTGACGGTAACCGTAATGGGTTTTACTAGCTGAATTGTGCAGTCAAGTTACATGCCTTTATAACCATTTGGTAGAACCGCTGTCTTCCACTGACCACAGGAGCTGAAACTGGTTTTTGCTACGATGGACGAATATGAGGCGCGTGGAAAACCGTAGCAGAAACTGCTGAAACACATGGAAAAGAGAGAGGGCCATTGGAGTTATGCATGTCTCTTACCTTGACAAGTATTCATGCATGCATTTATAACATCTCTGATGTGCCAAATTATAACAGCGTTGTGGTGGCTTAAGTCCATATTTTTGTAGAATCTGATCAAACAGTTGTTTTCACAGTACAATAATACAACGGTGTTGCTCTGATGAGTACTTGCATGCCTTGATGATGGGGTTTGATTCAGAATATAAATAAATGGATTTTGAGCGGAGAAAAAAAAAAAAGCTTGTAAGACCAGTTAAGGTTTTGAAAAATAATAATTGAAGTGGATCGAATTTTACTCATTGACAGCATTATGTAGCCTCAGCGGTCAGTCCTGCATGGCAGCACCATTCAATAAGCAATAACCTGAATTATAGAATCATACAGATTAATCATTTTGATGGTTTTTGTGCTGATGTGTAGCAAGTCAGACTACCTGATGTTTTCTAACGAGTTCGGAATGAATCCATTTCCTTTTAAGTTAGACGCAAAATTGCATTTGAACTAAAAGGCTCATTTTTTATGACGATTATTGCCTAAATTTGCTACATTTTATACTCATTGTGAGCACTTATCTTGTTTGGATCCTGAACTGTCAGTGTCCTGTTGTTCTGAAGTGTTACGCTTCTCTTCATCCTTGAAATCCTATTGCCCAAGTTTCAACTGGTGTGCTGCTTCCTAGACTAGTAGATCAAGGGCAATTGCTACTACTGTCCTTGTGCGCTTCTACTTCATATTTTGTCTCTAGACAGTTTTCTTGTACTGTACGGAATGGCCAGGTTTGACTGTGATGAATGCAAGGGTCCTGTAAAGGACAATTGTCAGCTAAATTGGATCATTTCTGTAATTATCTAACTGGGTAATTTCACAAGGTCCCTCTGTGAACTTTGTACAGAAGTATTTTTATTCTTAGTATACAAGTGTAAGTAACTTGGAAGTTGAACACTTGCCATGACACTATAAAAAGTAGACATTCAGGAGTATTACTGTACACTGCAGATAAAGCACTTCACTGGCTTCAAATATACCTTGACCGCATGAACAAAATGTTACAGCTTCAAGCAAAACTATTAAAGACGGTGATTTTAATGTTCAAGATCTGGTATTGGGGGCTACAGCTGTTAGATTCTGTTGTGAAATCGTATTAAATGGCTGCTGATCTTTAGATTTGGACCGCATTCCAAGTAATGTCAGGATGTCCTCCATGTTTATAAGAGATTCCTTGAGGTAATTCAATGAACCACTCGCATTAGACAGCAGCTGCGTGATGTCTCAGATCAACTTGAAGTTCTGATAAATATTCTACCAGGGACTTTAAATGTCATCATCATTAGAATGAACTGCTCCGTAAATGCTTGCATACAAATTCCCAAATTATTTGGTAAAATCTGACTTCACCTGAACCGTAGCTTTAAGATTCACTATGGCGCGGAGATCCTGTAAAGATCAGTGTTGGCAACACGTTTCATTTACTGTACTGTGCATTTGTCACTTTGCCAGCCCCCACAGTCCCCTCGACAGACATGCATACACATGCACATTTGTTTATGCATAGATGTCTGTCTGTGGGCGTATTTTTCTGTAATCTGCATCTTTTCTATTTGGGAGTGAAGGTTGCGGTTTATTTCCTTAATATATGAATATTGAACTATATACAAAATGTATGTGCCAAATGCAGTTCCTGTTAAGTCAGATTCATTCCAAAATCATCTTTGTACTGTAGGAAACCCTCCATGAAAATGGTATAAAGAAAATGTTTCACTGATAGTCCCTTGTAACTGGTGCCATGGAAATATTCAAACTTGAAATAAAAATTCAAAAGAGTTTGAGATATCTTGTGGTTTATAGTTCACAGTGCAAAAATTCTGTATGTAGGAATCAATCAGATGGTTCTCTAATTTGCTAATTCAAGAAATTAGACTAATAACCATTTCCTTTATAATAAAATGGCATCACTGCTTCACTGTGGCATTTCCCCAAAAATATTTTTGAAAACTTACTGCAAACTATACTTAAAGATGATATAGCAACCTGTAAGAAATGGGGTGATAGCACAATTTTTGTTAATTTTCTTTTCTTTTCAAGGAAAAAAATTGTAGCAAACATATATTTGAAACTAGGGCTGGGTTTTGACACAAATTTCACGATTCGATTCGATTCTCATTCACAAGCTTGAGATTCGATTAGATTCGATTACCAGTTCGATTCAATATTGATTTTAGATATATATCAGGTACAGTACATGCCAAATTTTCTCAAGGAAAAAAAAATCAACTAATGTTGTAAAATATACAAGAGTTATATATAAGAGTCAGTTGGTACTACATTACTATAATATTTAAGGGTAAAATAGACTGATTTGTAGTACAACTGCTAAAATTACACTTAATGAAGTTTTTAAAATAATAAAGTTACAATTACATAATATTTCTACTTCGTTTTTTTAAAAATAAACATTTAAATTGTGGCGGTCATAGAAACTTGATGGATTTATTCAAACATAAATTAAACCTTGAAGAACAGCAAAAATTATAATGGGTATGTTATATGGTGCAAACATTTAGCAAAATGCCCCTCTCTACAGTTTATTTTTCTAGCTGATTAATGAGTTTATGGTTACCTAATATGTTTTTTTCTGAGGTAAATGTGACGTTACATGACATTGTTTACAACCGTTATATTGAAGTCTTTGCGCGGCTGAAACACTGATTGAGCGATTACATGAGACCGATCTGTCACTCCACATTAAACAGCGCCAAAACGACATTTATTGTTTGAATACTGCAATACAATGGACAGAATTTGAAATCTGAGACTTTGTTTCATATTAAAAGTACCAAAGCAATGCTTATTGCGATTTATTGGATGGGAAGTGCCCTTCAATGTTCCGTCCATTAACTGAAAACTAAGCTAGAATAATCGATTCTTGGTATTTAAGAATCGGTATCGTTCCGTAAAAATGAGAATAGATTAAACCAGCCCGATTTGAAACCCCCAAAATTTGTTTTGAAATGTATACCCTTGTGCTTCAATGTTATATAAATCAAAAATGTAAACTAATATACACCACAAAACTATATTTATTAAAAATCAGTGTATACAAACGCTTTACAAATTACAAATATTTACAAAGTCACATTAATTGACATTACCAGTAGGAGTATTCTGATTCTAGAGATGAGAGAATGTTGGTTTGAGGAATGGACGAGCAGCAGTCTGTGGAGTGGGCAAAGCCATGAAGCCGGGCCTCTTCACTGCTGGGACTGATGGAGCCGGCCTGGAACCTCTGCCTGCACTTCGATTACCACCCCTGTATCCCCCTCTTCCTCCTCCTCCTCTTGATGAAGACCAGTTATTGCTGTATCCAGTACAATAAGGGTGGAGAGGGAGAGTTAATTTGGGTTCATATAGCCGATATGAAAGTCAGCACAATCCAACAATACTTCTGCTGTAACATACTGACCCTTTAGAGGAGGAGTTTTGGCCGCTGGCACCTTTTCTTCTTTTGGGTTTCCTGGAGTAAGACCCTTGCTTTCTCTTTGCTCCTCGTCCAGAGGTGCTTCTGAAATAGGTTGATGTGGTGTCCCCTTCATCATCGTCATCTTCCTCGTTTTGATGGCCTCTTGTTGTGTCAATCCATCCTGAACTCTCTGTCTGTGCCTCAGCTGCAGAGGAAGTGCGAGAACATTATATCTTTTAAACTACTTCATTTCAAGAGCTTTATAGGTTGCCGTTTTGAGCTAGCTGAAATATGATCCGTTTTAAAGTTTATAGGTAGAGCAAGCCAAATCACAACTGTAGTATGGTTTCTTATTATATTAAAAGTGGGGTAAGCGATTTTTCAAAAACGCTTTAGAAAACTGATTCGGGCCGAATAGCATAATCTTGTAGCCAATCAGCAGTAAGGGGCGTGTCTACTCATGATGTGGAGGAGAGAGCGTTCAGTGCACAGGACGGACATTAGCGAGCCGAGCGACAGAGAGATAGAGATGGCGGATAAAAAAAAAACAAAAGAGGACAACGTCTGCAGAACAAAAGAAGGCTTAAGGCAATAAGGCAAGAAGTAGGACCAGTGTAAATATCG